TTTGTTCTTAACTGATATTCTTAAAAGTCTGCAGTACGTATAATTGACAAGTTTGTAATTCTTGTTTATCCGTATGTTTTTCCATTGATGTGGTTTGTTACGAGTTCACCGAGACTCTAGCCACGAAATTACATGTTGTTGAAAGTAGAATTATGAATGATATTTTAGTTCGATGGCGGAGAAACGTAACGATATCAATATTATGATGTAATAAGCCCATAAAATTGTGTTGAATCGTTCAATCCCTGTCTGCATCATATTTTTATTTATCAAAATCAACCGTAAAATAAGCCTCACCCGTCCATTGTGGCAGAGCATCCAAGATTATGATTTAAGTTCATTATGCAGACATCTATTAACCATCGATCCGTCTTCATGGTGGGCGTTTGATGGTGTCTGACGTCTCAAAGTGGGAGGGCCCACCAAGTGACACGACGAAACCAGCCACGGGGTTGACAGTAAATAATCCCCTATTTTTTATCCCATAGATATTCAATAAAGCCAAAAGATCATTAGGTGGTCCCTGAAAGCGGCGGTGGGTGTGGAGCTATGTCTCCTCTTCTCCCATGATATCCGACACTGGACACGTGCTCATTAGGGTGCCCCAACAATGCTTTGGCCGTTTCAATTTTCATCCTCATCTACGAATATCTTCAATATCATGTTCCCTAACTAAATTATAACAAGTACCGTAATTGATTGATAAACGAGTGATTGCTAACGACACGTTTGTTAGCGTTCCTCAATAACGGCGAATTTCTCGTGTACATGGTGAAAATCTGAAAATAACTTGGGGTAACTATTGATTATACATGATTATACATTCCCTTTAGATTCTTGTGATCCCGAGCTTTATCCCTTGTATGATGCTTCTGGACAATTATCAACTCGAGCCGGATAGTATCCGCGATCTCGTTATAAAGTCCCCCTCACCGGTATTTTCGTGAATTTTTAACCAGCTTCTTCGACAACTCCACGAGGGGAAATGAGCTCAAGTCTTGCATAGGGTTGGTTATGGTATATGAATGAGGGGTTAAAGTTTCTGAGAAGCGAGCGTTTAATCACGCCTGGCAATTAGTATGATTCACGGCTGACGTCTCTATCTGCGGCAGGCCACGACCGAGCTCGTTTTCTTTATTCAATTTGTGCCGAGCTACTTCGACGCCTTTAAATTAGCTATTCAGAAATGCCATAGTCACCACACGAAATTGTCCACTTTGTTGTTGCCTCTTTTAATACTATATTTTATCCGCGGTAACTCGGTTGCTCATGATTTTCATGATATTTCAACAGATTTGACATATTTATTGCATCAATTTTTATTTTCTCAGACTGGGAAGGGGGCACGTAAAAATTCATTAATTGACACGAATGAAAAACAAAAAATTAGATTGTAGGAAATTTGAATCCTGGGATGATCACCGGGGCATGCGCGCATCTCTCCCCCTGTTATCCTACAACATATCAATTAACTCTCAGCTCAACTAGTCAAGAGTCAACTTATAATCTCTGTTCTCATTCCTCGCGTGCCGAGTAAATGTACTGCGAAATTATCGAACGATCGTTGTGAATGTTTTCACATTCTCCCCCAAGTGTTTCAACAAGCATGCGCATTGTAAATAATTTTTTCAATGAATTTTTAACCCAGTGTATCCCTCGACAACTGAGCGAGAGAAAAAAAAAAAGAATTTACAGTCACGCACGTTTCGCTAGTCAATTCATAACGACCCAAGATGTCGAGGCAACCGGAAACTGTGGGCTTCTTTCCTCCTTTTTTCTTACTCTCGCATATTTATAATAATTTTTTTCACTGTCTCTCTCTCTCTCTCCCTCTCTCTCTTGAGCCCACTCCATTCATCATATCGTGCATTGGTACAACTTTTACGTACCTTTTTCACGTTAGAGGAGATTATTGAATTAGATATACCGACAAATATTGAATTGATTTTAGCTCAGTCACTCTCGTGTTCGACGATAGTTGTAATACGCTATAATAGCGTCCCCGGATGCATGACGAATCATATTTCGTGCTAAGTGATTGCTCCGTACATTCTCAATTTTCTTCATTTTTTTTCCTATTTGTTATCTTTAATTTTCTACTTTGATATCAATCCCACGTCGTCACGTTCGATGATCGAGTCACTTTCCTCATTCAATAATTATCATATAAATAAGATACATGCCACGATACATGAGCCCAACATGATCCTATTCATGATACAAATGTGATTTGATTTATATTATGCAAAGTAGTGTGGAATTTTTTTTTTATTCTCCAAGTGGAGAAGGCAACGTCATGGCAATTGAACAATGCAACGGCGTATCACTCTGGAGAGTTTGTAATTCATGGTTTTTTTTTTTGCGAAAGGGTTGCTTTTGATGTTCTCTCCGACGTTGGGACGATAAATCGACGTCGGTTAAATGCCACTGAGAGATGCTACAGAAATATGATGTGTTAAGTCGGGTTAACACGTCGGGCGACACGTGGTGTCGCAACTCGTCAAAATTTTCCATATTTATAGTGTAAAGAGGATGAAAGATTAAATGCGAATACACATAAATCACTGTATTTTGTCGAAAGTACATACCCAATACATTCAGTTGAATTAATAAAATTGAATTTAAAAAATTTTCAAGTATCATAACAAAATAATTTTTATAAGGCAAGCTATGCGGTGGAAAATGACATTTGGATTTTTTTGGGGATATATATTCAAATGAATATTTTTATCGGTGAAATAACAAGGAATGATAATAAATTATGATGTTCAGTGAATGACATAATTTAATGGTAGGTGATAGAATGATCACTCAACGAAGTTCATTCTAGAGCTATCGATTGGCAGTGTCTCTGGAGGGTTCCTGATGAGCTTTAATCGTCCAAGAGTGTATATCTTCCGCCAATGGTAATGTGTTACCGACGTATACACAAGTTAAACCAGATACTTTAATGACCTTTAATGATGATCAATTATCTTCTCGAAAACCTGTAACTGTAATGATATCAGTTTCGCTAGAGTCTGACCTGAGCCCATCACGTCATCTGAATGAAGATGCACTGGGTGGTGTTGGGTTGACCATTAGACCAAGCCAAATTGTCATACGTGATGGTCCCAGCGTGATTAATTATTTGGAATGCCCTAATGAGACATTCTTCACGTGTGACACCAGTCCATAGATCATCAGTGTAACTATCTCTGTAATTATCGAAAATTGGAGCTCGAATGAGCCGTTGGGGGTGAAAATTCGATTAATTTTGAGAAATTTTAATGAAAATTAAGTGTCATTAAAAAATCGTTAATCTTGATATGATGGTCATTGAAATATGGGTGTGCCGGGGACAATTATTTTTACATATTTTTTTTTTTCAATGGAAATAAATTCGTTTGGGCTTATTAAATATATCGTCATTAACTTTTGAAGTCCCCTTAGATTTCAGAGCGATGTTCAAGTGGCGGATCAGTCGGGTTTTCTAATTTTCTGAAGTAGGTCTGGTCCAGGGCTCCTCTTCCTCTTCAGGTCGGCACTTTGGTAACAAGACGCGCGTGTCGGTGCCTCTCTCGTTTGTATCCCAGCTAACACGCGTGTCAGAGATGTGTGCTGTTGATTTTTCTTGTTAGTAAAGCGGAGAAAAAAAAAGGAAAAGTGAGTGGGTGCAGTCTGAGCCAGCCATATGCCCTCAGTCTTGTTAGTATTTTTTTGTTAAAACCGATTTACAATTGAAAATGTTGTCTGATTGCTTTGTTCGTTGGTATCGGGCTAATGCGATTATTACAGGGTAAATTAGGAAGAAGGAGTTGGTCGCATGCGTGATATTACATCCGGAACCGTGTTCTTCCCTATCATCATGATTTTTTCGTTCATTTTTTTTTGGGGTGAAGTAAAACGCTGATGACAGTCCCTATCCCTCGATTAATTTCAAAAGTTCAGGGTTTCCTTTCTCAAAAATATTTTTTTTCTACACTTGTTACATTATGGGGTATAAATTAGGCTCATCCGGTTACTACAGATTTTTCGAGTTGACTGACAGTGGCATGACAGGAACGCACACGGAGGGAAATATCTAATAAAAATTGAGGGAAAAGTGAAAAGAAAGAGGAAAGAAAAATTGAGAGACAGGCCAGAACGAAATATTGAATGAGTAGTGATTCGTCGGTACTTTGGTAAAATGAGATGAGTGTTCCGGCGGTATGAGCTACGAGGTTTGAGGGTTTGCTAACTAGAAGGGCCAAAGTCTCTTATGACAGTCTGTGATCCTGTGACACCCTCCCTCTGGCTTTTTCCACTCAATCCGATGCCAAAAAGCCACCCACGTCTTTTTTTCTTGTTGAGCTGGTGTATATCTCAGTGAAGAATCATGTCTCAACGAAAAAAAAAAAAAAATAAAGAAAGAAAGTGAAGTTTTCCGAAATTCTCTCATTCGGAATAAATCGAAAAATGGAATTGACTCCCCACTGTTGAGTACGTTACCCGAGCAATACAGGGGACAATATTTCCCCTTCCCTGCCATCAGTAACTGGTACCAGTGATGCCGCGAAACTACCCTCGCAAATTGAATAACAAACGTACCAACCCCTGCACCAGGAAAAATACCTCCCTCCCCGGGAATCGCAGTGGCTCCGGAAAGGGAGAAGGTTAAATCACCAACAAAACGGCACCCCGTCGTACCTCGCTGCTCAACATAAACCACATAAACCGCACCCCCCACGAATTTTCGTCCCTGTATCGCGACCCCCCTCGCGGCTCAAACCTACGAAATACCTCACTAACTTCCATACTCTCCATAAATGTCTTCGGCTCGTCGTTCCGCTGAAATAATTTCTCTCCCTGTAAAAATTCACTCTAAAAAAAAATATTCTCTCTCAATGTAGAGCAATCTCCAAAAAATTCATCAGGGGTAATACTTCAAATGAATAATATACACATTGAATAAATAAAGAAAACGTATATTTAGTTGGCAGAATAAATTTTATTGGAACAGGAAGTTGGAATGTTGTGTGGTAAAAATGTGTTGCATCCATCCGGGACTAGTAGTTGAATGGGGCGATTTGGAGCCAAGTCATCCCCGCTAATAACCGCCAAAGAGCTCTCTCGATAATGCATTACTCTTTTTTATCTCTCCCTCCCTTTACTCTCCATCAACAAGCCACACCATCATGACGATATAAATGGAGGGAGGAGGGCCCCCACACAACCAGCATTTCGTTACCCCCAGTGGAATTGAATTAATCTCCGAGATACAACAAAGCCGTCGGGGGGATGCCTCCAACCGGTGATTGAGTAAACATTGCACTGGTTGCCGGTGATTAGTTGACGTCTGTTGCTATTCGTGATGAAGAGGCTGAAAATACTTCTAAATTAACCAAAAACGGCCTCTCAAGCCACTTCTCAACGTTCAATCTATTAAAAATTATTTATAATAAAAACCTGATGGTTTTAAATATACGACATCTTTAATACCTTCTTTACATTATTTATTTCAAATTTTTGTGAGAGAGAGAGGAAAAATAATCATATTATTCTCTGAAAAAAAATTAATGCAGACGTTTTTTTTTTTATTTCTCAATATCAGATGCACCCCAAGTCACCCGGATGCTGATGTGATGATGGCTGGAGAGAGAGGGAGAATGTGGGGTTGGTGAAAAAAAAAAGAGGAAAAGAGAGATGGGAAGATAAAGAAACGACAACGACGTGCATCATGGAGAAATGAGGGGGGTGAGTGAGGGGTGAATGGGGGGGGCGAAAAGCTGATGTTATGACGGGACATTTCATGGCTCGGAGAACCCGGGAGCTAACGGCCCGTGCGATATTACCGCGCCGCAAAAGCCACCCATTTTCAATCCCCCACCTCAACCCCTCCATTCTCCCTTTCTCTCTTTTATTGACACGCGAATTTGTCACGAGTTACCGCTCGCTCATGAAATTCATCCAAACGAGGTACGTTTTTATCAGTGATTGATGTTCTAACCTTTCAGATTTTGAAAAAAAAAAAAAATAAGGGTGACCCGGGGCAACATTAAATACCCGAACAAAATGAAATAATTGTGATGCATTTTTTTGACAGTATTCCATTTTGCCCCCGCACTGAATTTTGCCACGGTCTTCCTTATTGATGAAAAATAAATAAATAAAAATAAAATAGAGACATTTGGGAATTTTAGGAAGCATATGTGATCAAAATAATCATTAACGCTTCGTTTTCATACTCACAAAAGCATCTTTTATTAGGTTTTTTCGTTTTCCTTTTTTAACTCTTTAAAATGAATTTCATAATTTCTTCTCTTCGTTTTGTTTATAATAATACTTCAATAATAATTCATTATCTAATTTTATTAATTAATAATAATTAATAATAGTAAAGTTACTAGGTTTTTTTAGGGCGGTTGGGCGTGATATGGGGCACCATCCGAGTGTACACGGACAAGTTTCCACGCGTCTCGTTCCATCCCGATATTTTTCTCTTTCTAGAAAAGCTAACGGGCCAACAGGGGGAAAACAACTCTTCCAAATTCCGCTCAAGCTCAATTGATTGCTTCTGCTGTTCTTTCGTGTGAATAAAATAAAAATAAATACCCGTCACCTGGTGCGAACGTTGACTGTGGATTAACAGTGCAGACGCGTGGAATCCTTGGACCGTATGAATTTATTTTATTTTCTTTCTTTTTCTATCTCATGTTATTGATTAACATACGCGTCGATTCAACCGAGCGTTTGTGTTATTCCTTTTGAAAAAGCAAAAATACGACGTTACGTGTAATTATGGTAGGTGTATTTCATCTTTTATACAATATTATATCACTCTAAATAATATAATATTCATCTCTCACGCGCTATGTATAGTATTTACAAGTAGAATAAAATTCGGACAACGGAAATAATTATGTGAAAATAGTGCATAAATCGGGGAGGGAAAAAAAAATAAGACCACTGTTAATGGACTTATGGAGATAAATGTCATAATTGTCCGGAGAGAAGTAAAATAAAAATAATCAAGTGCAATTGACCCCGATAAGAGCATCTCCGGATGGCTATCCGATGCAATGAATAATAAAATAATTAGACAATAATGGATTAGAAGATGAGAGAGCCATTTGAAAATGCTCTCCTCCGAGGATAGATAGTACAACAGTTAGGAGATGGTGAAAGACTCCTATTTAGAGACTATGTACAGGTGCTGGGGACGTTGGTGATGGGGTCTGAGCATTGCCAGGAGTGCCAGGATTTTGTGTAATGTTGTATGCGGGATTATTGTTGTGACGATTTTGGTGATGTGATTGTGACTGATAATGATTGTACTGATGATGATGGGGATGAATGAGATTCAGGTTGATTGGGTAGGATAATGGGGAGCCCAGGGTCGCTGTGTTAGCGTTATTGCAGACACCGGCGACTCCGGGCCCCACCGGGCTCAGTGCATGCTCATCCCCGCGTGCGGATGATGCGACTGAACGGATGTTGCGTGATGATGTGGATGATGCATTAGTGGCGGGAGATGCGGGTGGTGGGGATGGTGTGGTGTCAGTGGGGGTGGGGTCATCTGCATTGGGGTCATGGGCGTTGTCGGTTGGTGTATGGTGTTCTGGGACGTTACGCTGGTGTCCTGTGCACCCTGTGGTACCACTGACAGGGACTGCTGCTGCTGCTGTTGCTGCGACTGTCCCGACTGTGGTACCACTGGTACAACTGGAACCGAGCTGTTGGAATTGGGACTCTGCTGGCTCACGTTGTCCTCGCTGTCGGAACAGGACTCGGCTGATGAGCTCCCCGCTCCCTTCCCCGCCTTGCTGCCGCCGCTGGAACTGGAGCTGCTGTGGGTCTTGACGTGCTTCGCGAGATGATCGCTGCGCATGAACCGCTTGTTGCAGACCGGGCAGGCGAATCTCTTTTCTCCGGTGTGGGTTCGAAGGTGCCGCTGCAACTCATCCGAACGTGTGAACCGCTTGCCACAGAAAAGCCAGTTGCAAACAAACGGTCGCTCACCCGTGTGCCACCGTAAGTGGGCCTTCAGATGAGACGTCTTCCCGTACACCTTGCCGCATCCTGGTATGTGACAGCTGTGAATATTCTTCTTCCTCAGATGAACGCCAGCTGGACCAAGCCTCTCAGCCTCTTGACAATTTGGACAATCGCACGTTGCCCTCCCTGTGTAACGTCTTTGTGAACGTGGTGATGGTGCCTGACTGACACCACCTCCTGTACCACCCTGAGGACTGCCCGCACCACCAGTTGCGCTTGTTGCAGCCGCGTGATGTGCGTGCAGACCAAAACTAGGGGGTCCACCAGGTAACATTGATTTGTACGTATCTTGAAGTAGATTGTGACCGGCAGTGGTAGCTGATGTCAATAAATGATTACCAGCTAATGCAAGACTCGTTGAATAGTCCGCTGAGTAATTTGCCATTTGGGCATGAACACCAACTGTTCCACTAACATCTAGCCAACCCCCGGTTGCTGCTCCATGAACATCCCACCAGCCATCTCCCGCTTTGATTCCACTGTGGGTTGCACCAGGCATTGCATTGAATGGCCACGACTCGTACGGATGTCTTCCATAAACTGAACCAAGTGTTGCACCCTCAACTTTACCGAGCAGACTGCTCTGGTGATGATGAGGATCAGGCTGTTGGGCCGATGCTGTCCCGGGGAAATACAAATCACTGCCGTATTGTGGTGCAGTTGATGCACAAGAAGTGACTGGTGCTCTTGCATACCCACCAGTACTTCCTGCGCTACTCGTTGCCGCTGGCCTCTGCGTGACACCAGTTGTCGTGCAACCACCACCACCACCACCACCGCTACCACTGTGCTGTGGAGAACTGCCGCTGCTCTGAGGGCTCTTCTTCCACGGATGAAATCCTTTACCCACCGCTGCATCTGCAAGAGGTGGTGGACTCTTGCTGCTCAGCTTATTGCACTGTGCTGCCAGCATCGCCAGTGGAGTTCCCCTCAATCCAGGATGATCCTGAAACAAAAAAACGGAAATACCTCAATTAGTACATCCACCTTACTATCATCCAACTTAACTGTTTAATATTTTTCCTTGGATATTTTTTCATGTGAAATAAGGTTAATATCGTGAAAACCGGTTCTCCGACAACTGACGAGGTATATAGACCCGTTACCTATAATCACGTCTTCTAAATCGATCTCAAAATAAGCCGACGCTTCCGTTCCCCTCTTAATACTCGTTACCTCCATCTCCCTCACTGAATAGAGACTTGAAATGAGGAGCCAAGTATACACCCAAGTAAAGTTATACGGTAAACTATGAAAGTCCTCCCTCGAGGGTGCATAATGATACTAAATTGGCGCAAGAGTTCGTCTAGCCTTTGCCTCTCTTACCCAGAAAGATCGAAGATTGGAGTTGAAACCTCGCTGTAATGAAGCCCAAGGGAGCGCTACTGTTGCAAAGGAGCGAGAGGTTAACTGGCGACACATCCTTCAAGGTAGTTTCATGCAAATTAATTCCCCACCGATTCACCCTCCCCGGGTCGTTGAACACAAACTCCCACACAACGTCTGTCACATCGTCAATATAACTCGATTCGTGTAATAACCATACTGCTGATTCTAAGTGCAGGGTATCATCCAAAATCTTATGGATTACAGATCCGAATAATTTGAGCCATGGATATAACATCACTCGCCCATCTGTGGCTCATTTGGGTAGATAATGACGCCGAAGGCTGATTCTGCCTCATCAAGGGCAGTTTCATGCAAATCATCTTGACTCAACGGGGGATGATGTTTCATGTCAGTGCTCACCGTTCTTGACTACCGAAAGACGGTGATTCCCGCGGGAATACAAAGGACCAAGATGAAAGCTACAAAAAAGGGGACAGAGTCATCAGGCTCTAGGTAGAGATGAGGTTTCGTGGGGGAGAAGGTAAAGGGGAAGGAGGGACACTCCGGAGAACATATTCGGACAGAGAAAGGTGAAGCCAAAGGGTCCGCGCGGAAGCAGCAGGAAATTAAAGTCTGGCAGGCTGCGGCCATTAGTAGCCGGCGCCATCGAGGCGACACGCCCCCCACGCGGTCCAACGTTTCAACCCGGGTTAACCAACACACGAGTGTTTCAAGAGAATGAGGGGTTAAATAATAAAAAAATGGAGAGAGAGAGAGAGAGAGAGAGAAACCATCTCATCGAGGACAAAACCGAGGTCCCAACAGCCTAACGATGATAGAAACAAAAAAAAAAGGTGAAAGTCAATATCATAGATGCGCTAATGATTGCCCAAAGCTCGGTGAGCTTTTCTGTGGGTAGAGACTGATGAGGGGAATTGAAGGATTTTCCAGGGAGTGGATAGGGAAGGTGAAAAGAGGGTTGAATTCGCGCAGCAGGATTATATATAACTCAGTATAGAGGGAGATAGCCAACTGGGGTATATCTCCGTTGGTGTACTAGAGGCGAACCACGCCCTCTTCAAGCTCAACGTTCTCTCGTACAGAGGAGGGGGTGATATAGAGGGGTTGGAGGGTATTGATCCAGCATTCTGAACAATACGATGTTGGAGTCTCGGAGACAACGACATCTCTCAATTAGCCGATCGAGTTGAAGAGATAGGAGCGTCAAGAATGGTTCCATGAATCGTCGGGAGCCCTCTGACCTTTGGTATTTAAATCGCATTGAATCGCTCTAGTGATGAATGATACCCGCTGAGGCTTCAGTTGGGAAGAGGAATAATGGGCAAAATGAAAAACGAGGAGATTAATAAAATACAAACACGCGTTGGAGCTACAGAGGGTAGAGGTTTGCGGTGGCTAAAGTTGATTCTTGAATTACTGGGATTATCTGTAAATGAGAATGTGGCGGGTGTGCTGATAGGATTATTGATTAGTCGAATAACCCCCATTGGCTCGTGGACGAGACTCTTCAGTATATGTACCTTATCCTTTTTGTACTCTGTAATTATTCAGCGTGGAGGAAAGAAAAGGAATCGTTACTTGAGGGCTCACTCCCTCGACACTGGAAACAATGATGCTTCTGATGGTAGAAACCTTGAGACGCCTTGGAGTCGCCATTTTCTTTATACACCAACCTCATTTCCTTTATCTTTTTACCATTCTGACAAGCCTTCAATTATCCTAGACCTACTTGATGACTCTCCACACGCAATGCGTACCTCCTTGACTCGCCCGTAGTTTTTCCCATTTAAATATTTCATTAGATGATCAATTGCGTTGGTCAAAGTTTGTTTGAGTAGGTAGCCTTCCTGTCGGCAGTTGCTTGAAAAATGAGAATTGTATTGGGATGGGCAGCCACGGCGAAACAACCTTTCCAATCTTTGTTTTTTACCGCGTGACGTCAACGCCCATCCTTTAATAACGCCCTGAGCGTTGACGCATAAATTAAGAGGGCCAGGAAGCTTGACCGTTCTGAGAACAAGAGCGGATGTCAAGAGAACATATTAGTGATCTCAAAATCCTCACGATTTTCCGGAAGTCAGTGCAAAATTCGAGGGTTTGGCTGTTCGAAATATATCATTTGAAATGGGCAATTCATTTCGGTTTCTCTTATCGCGATAATTCAGGTTACAATAATAATGCATTATTTTTCCAATTATACAGAGTGACCGACGCTATACCGAATAATTGTTTGAGTAGCCGTCATGATAATTGAAACAAAGACTCATTGATTTTTATCCCTCCTTACTTATATGGTAATGACACCCATTCACCAATATCTTGACATTTCGAAAGCATAAAGAAAGTAGCCCTTTTATCCAAAGTGTATAGACACGTGTAACAGCTGGCACGAAGGCGTATATTAGTCCACCAATTCGCCGTTTAGCTTGACAGTGTTGACTGACGTGGAGAACGACAGATAGTAGGTGCGAGGGTGCAAATTAGGTAAAAGTAGCGAAAGGGGGTGGGACCATGGTATACCACACTTCCAAAAAAAAAAAAAACCCACCCTATAATTGAGGTGGATTATGGTGTATCACAACTGGCGTGTTGTTGTCAAAAATTGAACTTTCTTCGTTATTCTATTACACCTTGGTTAAATAAAACCTTAATGCGAGCCTTGCGGGTCTGATTAATAGTAGCTCGGGTGGGACAAAAAATTGAGATAAAAAAAGGAGTTGAGAGTAAGAAGAGTAATGGAAACCTTGAGAAAATTATCTCCGGTGGACTTGTACACTTCTACGGAGATGGGAGAAAAAAAAAATAAAGGTAGGGGCTGAGGCACCTGCCGACGAGCTTTTGATTGGATTCACCTGCGTCTCTCAGTCCGTTACAAATCCACGAGAATCGAATGTTGTGGTTTTTGGGATCAAAAATTCGAATTAGGTTGAACCTTTTTTTAGGGAAGTTAGATTTAATTTGTGGGTCAGAGTGGTAGTGGATATAATGAGGTTGAATGTGATGGAATCACTTCCGTGATGTTTAAAGTCATAAATAATGCGGAGGTAAAAACATTCAAGATATTGAATCAGTTTGTTTGAGTGAAAGGAAAAATACACATAATTTTTTCTCTGTCGATGGTTGGAGATAGCAAATGCGGTTACTCCTAATGCTAATTATTTGCTTATCGTTGCCCACATGCAACTCTGGTCTCTGTATGATAAGCGGCTCAGTTCTTCAACAAAACTAGCACTGGTTTTGTTTATTTTGAGTATTATTTATTTTCCCTATTTTCCTGTTTCTCCTGTCAAGATAATTACCAGCCCCACAGTCGATTGGAATGTAATAGGTACATAATGTAACGCTACTCGTCCTCGGTAACTGAACGTTAATGACTCGAGGATGATCACCGGGGGCCGTAAACTAGCCAACACACTTTAGAGGAAGCATTAACTTGAATTAAACCAAAATTCATATAATTTTTTTTTGTCCCGAGAATAATTGTGTCTTTCCACGAAGAGTTTTGCCGTTTTTTTCCCTCATTCTAGAACTCTTCATTTTTTTTTCCATTAGTTTTTTTTGGCCGGTTTTGGTTCATGAAATTTTAGCGAAATTTTGGTGGATTAATGACGTTATTCATGAGTGAACCCTCGAGGCCTGTGTAGTCTGGGCATCAACACCCGAAGAAGAAGTTCCCACCAGGCCAACCGCTACCTGTTACCCTTCTCCTCTAAATTATGTTTTTTAATTAAATTCATCCATAAGACAGAGAGAGAGAGAGAGAGAGAGAGAGGGAGAACGGGGGCTCCCAAGTGGTACCGAAAAGTTATCCCTGTGGGTCCAAGCTAAGTATATACCCTGGGAGAGAAAAGAGTGAGGATGCCGCTTGGCCTGAGGCCAACAGGGAGCTCACAAGATTTATTCGGTCATCCCCGAAACGAAGCGGCGCCGGGGCTCATTCCAATCACTAATCGAGCTTTCTGCTCCCTTACTTTGTTGATCGACGATTGTGTTAATCAAAGAACCCCGTGGCACTGAAATTATTGGTTTTTTTTTCCTCCCCCTTTTAACATGAACATGTCCTGCCTTTTAATGATTTTATAATGATGATTCAGGATGAAATTAGATGGATTAGAATTTTTGTATGATTTTTTTTTCGATGAGAGTTTGTGCGGGGATTTTTTATATCGAGGATGGGGGTGATGGAATTTAATTTAATGGATCTAAGGAGTCGCGTGAGGATCCATGGGACGCATGAAAATCAAGTGGAAAGACATGCCCTGCCAATTCATTAGTACTCGTAAATCTGTCGCGTTGCCAGCGTTGAATATTAAGCGAGGTATTACAGCCTCAGAGCCACCGGGCTATAATTCCTGGGCCTGTTAACTCGGTTATATGCTCCACCCTTGTTCATTTTTTACGATCACCAGCGTGTCTCTGTTGATATGCCCCTTCGATTGGTGTTTCATTAAAAAAAAAATAGGTACACGCCAAAAAATGCTGCCTAGTTAATTTTTAAATGACGAAAAACGAGGCAATATCGAGTACGAGAAAGAAATTCTCAAATTCAAGAGAATTTCCATAATTTTCACGAGTGGAGAGAAAATGAAGGAGGTAAGGAAG